GGCCCATTTTAGAATAATATATATTATAGGTTTTGATTATAATTATTGATACATAAAGTGTTATCAAAGCTGGTAAAGGTGCCGTTTTAATTACTTTGTATGCTGCAGGGTATAGCTTGTGAATGTACTCCAGGTGTAACTAAAGTCTTATGTATGTGTTGATTATATTTCACATCATTAATCCAAATCTGTAAAGTAACTAAAGGGATTAAATAACTATAGTAGAGTAAAAGTACACAATTCACCTCTGAATTCTAGTAGAGTAGAACAAATTGATCAATTACTTAAATTAAGATTACAAGTAATCTGTTGAAGGAAATCTTGAAAAACACCTAACAAACTAGCAACTGGGTGTATACAATCAAATCAAGTTTTCACAATAAACTTGTCTTCTGCTAATATAGGTTTGCTGGAGTTTGAACCTCATTCAAAATATTTACTGTCTGCATAGACATACAAGGTAGTTGGAGATTGTACGAGACCATCAACTGTGGCTCTTCTACAAGTAGGATATGTAGATGTATTGCTAGTCAGTTAGTTAGAGCACATGGTTTCTTTCCACTGCTTCTCAAAGGAATTTTATAATTCAACAGAAAAAGCTTTTCACTTATCATATAAAAGTGTTATTGATTTTCCATTAAGCTGTGTTTATTATGCAGCCATGCAATGAGACACAAATTTAAGATGTTCATCACACATCCCCCACATCTTCCTGAATGACTCATTTAGTAAAGATGGATAGTGGGTAAATTTGAAGACTCAAAAGAGAAACTGACATTCCCAAATGGTTCTCGTATGTGCATGATTACAAATGTATTCATAACTACACTGATTTTAGCATATTACATCTGTCATAAATACAGATGAATTCATGAGAAATATATTCAAATATCATCAGAATACATTTGGGAGTAAGAGAACATTGATATTTTATAACAGGCAACTGAACATTTGTTTCCATCCTAATATAATGTATTCTAATTATCTATGTTTTAAATACTATTTCCAGGGGCATTTCCTTCTTAAATCAAATCTTATACTCAAGTGTCAATTTTCATGATGTATTTGTCCGACTGGTTTAAGGAACGAGGCTATGGTTGGACCGTAGTAAAGCATTATTGGAAAGGATTAGCCCAATGTCTCCATTCACACAAGTTTATTAGGTAGTATAACAATCATGGTTATCTCAAATCAGAGTGATGATCTGGAGAGGATGAACAGGGGCTTTCACCAACTGCAGTGAAGCTCTCCTTCATGAAGGGAGCCCTCTGCTGGACAGTAGAGAGAATGACTGAAAGAAGAGCAAGCGAGTGTCACTTAAGGGTAATTTTTTTTTCATTATTTCAGATGTTGCTTTGTTTAAATTAAACATGTAAACGTTGAAAAACTGCTACTTTTTAGCGGAAAATTGATTTCAGAAATCCTCATCTTGTATTTTCTTACAATTAAAATGTGTTTTACCTTTATTTTGTCTTCCTTTAAAAATGTGTATTTACCATAAATATATATTTAGGTAACTCTTGGTTTGTTAATCATTTTTGCTTTACGTTGTAGTTGTTCACCTGTGGTTGATGTTTACTTCAGTGTTCTCTGAAAAAACTGAATATATTAGTTTGAGTTGTAGCCAATTGACTTTAAACCCCTTCTTATATAATCAATTTGAGATATGTACATAAGCTGCATTGATTATTCAATTCAACAATTTCTCAATCGAAAATTAATTTGTTTGATAAAAATACATAAGTTCTCAAAAGATTTTTCACCCAGCTTCTGAAATGTATACGTAGTTTTTGTGTTTTCTTTGCCTCTTTGATTATCCACAATTGGTTTGAATTATATGTTCTTTACATATTATTTTATTCATTTATTCAAATGTGACTTACAATAATATACAAAATACTCCTTCCACAGTTTGTTTCTTTCATCATATATCGGATGATGTAATGTAAAAATGCCTTACATATTAATTAATTAACCTATAAGTTTACTATTGCTTACTTTATTAACAATAAAGTAAGCAATATAGTAAACTACTTAAATCACTTGGCAATGGTGTCACAATGTTTTTAAGGAGAGATGAAATGACATTAAAGACTGATTTTAAATACTTGAATGTCTGAAAAACAACTTTGGCCTTTGTGAATGTCATGTTTTCTGATAAAAAGTGACTTTACTGTTAATGACACTTCTGACATTTCATTTTTATGTAAAATCACCTCTGAGATACAACCCTAAACCATATGAGACACCCAGGTTAATGAGATAATGTAGAATCAGAATCATCCCACAGAGGGAACATTTACATTATACAGCAACGTATAAATAGAGACGTAAAAAATTAAACACAATTGGATAAAAGGCATGCACATAATATTTCAATATTAATATTTATTAAAGTTTACATAAGTACACATTCAGGTAGATAAGTAAGTAGCTGAAGTATTTATAAAATGAAAATAAGTGTATGTCTGCTAGATACCAGTATTACAATGATATATTGCAAAGAGTTATTAACAGATTTGTGTTACAGTAATAGACGGTCTAACTAAGAACATGCAGTAAGTCCAATAGCCAATATAAGTCCAAAAGTTGTTTGAATGAGTACATAGGTTTAATAAATTACGAAAACACTCATGAGGGGTAACCCAAAAGTATACCACAACCTGCTTTGACAGTTCTGAGTTGCATTACACATCTTGATCACTAGCTGTCGCTGCAGATTTTAAGCACTTTCTGCCACGAACGTTGCAGAAACGTCGCACTCGCTCATTGGCTGTTGTAGGCCGGGGTCAAACTGCCTTGCGCATGCTCAGATGCCCTTTTTCGGTTCCAGACTGAAATCTGTCAGATCAGCGTAGCATACGTTGCCTTAATACCTTCTAATATTTCAGTACTTTCTTCCCCTAGTCTGCGCTAGAGACTTTTATCTAGCCTGAAGGGTCCTCGGATTTGGATTCTAACATTTTGACGTCTACAGCTGAAGGAAACAGAAAATAATGACGACCAATTTAAAGCGGAAAGAAGAAAGTCATCTGCAGAATGGGGGTGTAAAGCAGCCCACATGGAGCAAAGTCTTCAACAGTACTGCTGTCTGGGAGGAGAAGGTCAGACAGCTTTAAAATGTAGCTCAGTTGTCTATGTTGTCGCTATTTGTTGCCATAAAGTTATCAATTCACCTGATTTGTTGTCCGGTGTTCATAAAGACGGCTATCTGGAGCTAGCCATCATGCTAAGGATTATGTGGTTTGCCTGGGTTACTTGTCAATTGGAGAAAAAAATAATGCTAGGCCTGACGTTAATTTTCTTAAGAGATTTGTTCATAAGAAAACTACTGGTCTTGAAGTCTAATATATGTATAAAACGCTGAGGTGTATTACTTTATATACGTTGGATTTGAAGGGATCAAATTACTAAAATGCTTTTTACATTTCTCAATACGTCCTCTCACTGAGTAATTTGCTTTAAAATAGTCTAGTGTTGCATCCAACACTACATGTAATTATACACACTTAATTTAAGCAGCTGCAGCTCTTGCTAACTTAAATTGCCTTAAGTTACATTTCGGTTTATTGGCTCATCAATTACACGATTAATATTCACAAAATAATGATAATTATAATAATGATCATTAATAATAAAACAATTTTATCCCAGCAGCTATTGCACACATTTAAAAAATAAATAAAAATAGGCATCTGTGTGACGCTCCTATGATGTGTTAATGTGTGCAATAGCTGCTGGGATAAAATTGTTTTATTATTAATGATCATTATTATAATTATCATTATTTTGTGAATATTAATCGTGTAATTGATGAGCCNAGAGGGCGCTTTAAGACCTTCGCTTTTTGATATAAAGGCTACTAGTTAGGGGGCTGATTAGACATTCAGGCCCTCCCGTTTTGGCTGATATAGCGGCTTAGTTTGTCGGGGACCACTCTTACTTCTTCCTTCTCTCTGTCTATATACTGTGTACTCTCATGTTCCGATTAACCCAGCTTCCCCAAATTTCTTCTCTTTTGGTGTCGTATTATACGCCGGGCAGTCCGGATCATGGATGATCCTGCGGTCCTGTGTCATGGATTGCGAGTCCTGGATCTTGAGCCGTGGCTGTGGTCCTGGATCATAAGTCCTGGATGGATATACTCGTGGATTCATCTTCCTATTATACACACATGCATTTCCAAACATTTGGACTACCTATGTTGCAAATGTATTATCTTTTCAATTTACACACGGCATCTATTGCACGTCTGTCCGTCCTGGGAGAGGGATCCCTCCTCTGTTGCTCTCCCTGAGGTTTCTCCCATTTTTCCCTTTAAACTGTGGGTTTTCTCTGGAAGTTTTTCCTTGTACGATGTGAGGGTCTAAGGACAGAGGGTGTCGTATTGTCATACTGATATTCTGTACAAACTGTGAAGTCCACTGAGACAAATGTAACATTTGTGATATTGGGCTATATAAATATTGATTGATTGATTGATTGATAATGTACCTTTTTTCACCAAGTTCTTTTTTATTTTTTATTCATGCATATTTTACTAATCACCCCCTCAAATGGAAATATGTGTTTACATAAATGGTGACCAAACCGTTTGAGACCCACTGACAACTTATGACTAAGTTAACAATCTAAACACTCAAGAGTCCTTAACCTCACCTGAGCTGTAGTTATCCCGAGCTTGAATGACACACAGAGACCAATCAAGGGCTTTGATTTATGATCTGTATGACAGTGGCCATGTCGGCAGCCCACATCATGTAGACAGCCAGTCACCCTGTGTGAGGCAGACCCACATTTGCGCAGCATTGCGTTCACGATACATACAAAAAACTAAAACTAAATGGATCACGAAATATAACTGGGCGTCCCGCCCAAGTAAAGTCTATGTGTGGGAAACCCTGAATTCTGCTGCAAGAAATGGATTTCCGAAAATTGATCAAAACTGAAATAATCTTACACACTAAAATAGCTTCTGGATTAAAAAAACACAAAAACCATGACTTTGAAAATGGAGGCCAAATAAAGCCCATGTTTAATGATTCCCAAAAGATTTGATCAGAAAATACAATCCTTTCAAACACCAGCTGCGTATCTAATATAACATTATAATTTTAATAACTTTGCAAGAACTGTTTTTAAAAGTTCTTCACTATAAAATACTGAGAAATATGTTACATTAAACAAGATATAACATAAGTACAAATAAATCTGTTTAATACAAGGTGGATTTGACAAAACGGACATTGTACAGAATTTACAAACAAATTTAAATTAATTTCAAAAACAGGTAAGACTTTGATCTGGAAGCTACAAGTGAGAATAATCTAATTTAAAATTAGGTCTACCCTCCTAACTAATGCCATTAATAAATGACATCTAGATATAAGAACAGTTAGTCATGGCAGCGCACCGACTCGTTTTAAGCTTAAATCTGTGAACATTTGCATCTGAAAAGGGCATGCATGTTTCCTCTTTGCTTTGAGGAAATCATTTGTATGGACAGATTGCTTGGATAGTTTTTAGTTCCTGTCCTTAGCAACAGCATATTGATACTACTGGCAGATCCCGTCATCGGGATTGAATATCAGCCGATATGTGTATTTTACGAGCCTGCATTTGGTTTTGATGTTAAAATTAGCACGAGTGAGATATCATATGTGTGGTTGCCTAAGAACTTTCACATTTGTTGGACACCAGACCTTTAAGACAAAATGACTATTGACAGATTTTATTCAAAAATGCTACGTTTATATCGAGTGAGCAAAAAAATCAAAAGACAAAACATAAAGTTTGGAGTGAAATTTAAGAGATGGTATTTAACAGTAAAAACCACAAGAACAATTCATTACTGGTAGTTATATCCGGTATCATGTGTTTTGTCCCTACATTTAAAAAAAGGTAACAATTCACACTTATGGGTTGACTGATCCTTAATAAATATGACAACAGTTTGTTGTCAGCAACTGGGATGAAACACATGCTGCTTTTATAGTCTAAAATGTCCGTTCATGTCTTCTAAAGCAGACGAAAGGCCCTGTAGTAAACCAACAAAGGAAGTTCTATTCTGATTCACATCAAGGCAATCTTCCATCGCACATTGAATTGCGACCGATCTCAACTGACCTTTTCGGTAGTGTTTTGAAAGAGATGATAACATTAAAATTAAGAAGGAAATATAAACATGTGGGAAGTGTGATAAAGCCTGCCTTAAAAGGAACCCCTGAATTAGACAGGTGTACATTTTTTTGTTCATCACGGTGTTCTTGCAGGATCCTGTTAATCAAACAAGGATTCCCATGATGCACTGCACACTGAAAAAGTCATATTGTAGGGAGGAGCATTGAGACCCCTCAAGCTGTGGGGTTCCTCTTTCTTGGCAATTTACTTCAACAGAAATGTTCATATTTAGTGTCTTATGGATCCCTGTCATTCAAAATGTAGTGCTGTGTAAAAGATTATCCACACCACCTGGTAAAGGAAAAAGAAAAAGGAAATTAAAGATACAAATGAACAAATTAAACTTAAGATTGATGCAGGTCATAGTGGTTAGCAGCACAGTATACTCAATTACAAGCGGACTAATAATAACTGGCTATTCGCTAATGAAAAATACACTGACTGAGCACAACTCCTACAAAAACAAAAATTTGGTGTTCCAAATAATGTTATTTTTTATCGATACAATTTGTTTTAAGCTTACTTTAATTGTAGATCCCCTTTTCTAGCATTATCATACATTTTTATAATTTATAATTATTATTATTAAAACTGTGAATACACACTGTTGTTAAGGGACCTATTAATCTTTGAGTTTTATTCTCACATATTTTCTTAGTGGTGTTCTATGCACAGATTAAGTAAACCACGGAGCGTTAAGCATCACTAAATTAAACGTTTTATTATTTCAAATCATACATTTGAGAACCTAAAAATATCCAGTCTTTGATTTGATGACGAATTTGAAACCAGAATAAGCTATTTTATTTAATTATAAAAGGAAAATAACCAAAAGCATAAGATGCCATGCACATGTTAGCCATCTCCACCCGATATAGCGGCGCTCAAATGCTATGCAGCTGAATATGACGTAAAACATGAGTTAACCGTAATTATATAGTATATTTGCCTTTAGCCCATATTTTGAACCTCTTATTCTAAAGAAAGCTGAAAAGCCAACAAGTCTTTCAATAAATATTAGCATACTCACCATAAAGAGAGCAAAAGATGTCATGAAGCCTTCTTTGGTGAGTTCCCACGTGCCACCATACTCCTCCTCATCAACCTGCTGAAAGCTGCTGAAGTATACGTACAGGATGCCAGCGTTGATGATGCAGAATCTAACGGAAAAAACACATAAACATGTTAACTTTTCTGTGTTTTCTTTGGTTCAATGAGATATGAATCAACTAGAATGCTCAGTTAAATATATATTTTAAGACAGTCTGTCCAGCACACTTACATGGCTATTGCCAGGAATCCTTTCAACGGTGCGACTCCCCATATCACACCAAGAATTATTGCAATAATTTGCCGTAGCCAGTAAATCACATCTAAAAACTCATCCTGTAAAAGAAAAGAGAGAAACTTCATTTAGAGAACAAAATACTTGAATGAAAAGATGGTAATGCATTATTATCCCCTTCATTTCATTTGTTTATGTTTTCTATTTAGGGGATGTATTACAAGGGGTGTGTGGGGGTGTGTGTGTGTGTTGGTTCTTTCTACAGAAAAAAAAACAGAGAAACTGTTTATAACACAATGCATAATCTATTGTTTTGACTAAAATAGCTTGATGCATCACTAATCTTTTGTCAAAGCCTGTTTCTCTTATAATAAGTGTCGCCCATCTATCTGAGGTTATGGTTGGGTGACTATACGATGATTTGCTAGGGTTTGACTTAAGGTTGGGTTTAGGTAACATTTAGGGAGACAAATACTGACACAAAAAACTTGTGATTGTTCAGGTTCAGGTTATTTATTTGTACCCGTAGGTAGATTCTGTTTGCAGAGAAAAAGACACAAGGGTTCCATCCTGATACTAAAAACAAACACAAACAACAGACACATCTCTAATAAAAGGACGAGTAAAAGTAAAGTATACCCTGCTCAACCAAATCTCAAAAATATTTTAGAAACATTNTAACTTGTCTCAGCTAAAGGTGGAACGGAGATTTGGTGCGTGGAGTTCAACTCTGAACCTATCTGGGGTCAGAGTTCAATTTCACGCACCAAATCTCCATTTCACTTACATATGTACATACAAAATGTGTGCTTTTAAAAATGTTATATTCAATATTGTCATTTAAAAATTAAAAATGTATTCAATAATTTTTTAGACGGAGCTCCATGGTGACTTGTGCTATTTTTAGAACATGCACGCGGGCGACCAATTTCCCCCCTGCGGGCGACTTAGTGCCCGCGGGCACCGCGTTGGCTACCCCTGCTCTGGAGGCTCGCTCACATGAGACGTTGAAATCTCGCGGGACAAAGACGCCCGCAGCCTTGAGAGCGAGGCGCGGCGAGGCGGCGCAGTTTCTCTCCACGGGCTGCGGAGGCGAAATGCTTGATGGGAAACGACTCGCTGGTATCTCGAGCTGAGCGCTCATTGGTGGTTTTTACCACGTGCTGCTGATGAAACTCTTCAATTGGCTCGGCAAAAGTTTGTTGTTTTGTGTCAGTTTTACCTCGCCACTTCCATTCACATTTTTCATCATTGTTCCACAATGTTTATCATCATGAAATTAATATCTATATGTTATACTATACTTGCACTGCTTACCGTTTTCATACTTTATATATCTTAGCATATTCATACACACTGTTCATACTGCTCACAGGCTGCTGTGTATATTCATACCCCTCACTGTTTATTCATCATTCAATTAATTCTATATTTTATTCTGTAGATTGTGTACATTACTTTTCACTTTACTGCTTGTTGCACTCCTGGTTGGAAGCTAAACTGCATTTCGTTGTCTCAGTACCTGTAATCTGTGCAATAACAATAAAGTTGAATCTAATCTTGAGCAGGAACAAATGTATTTACTTAGTACATATCTGACATCAACGAACACATGTGTGCATTCTTTATAAATGCAAACCGAGTCAAGCCGACTCCGGAGATGGCGGTATGCACCTTAAAGTGGTTTTCAATCCGCCAAAAAACCGAGAGAAGAAGAAGAAGAAGGCGAAGAAGAAGAAGAAGCCGACTCGGAGCTGTCCGACTTCAGGCGAGCTTTTTGAGACCTCCCCCGGCTGCGATCGATCGACTATTCTCGTCTACTTTCGAGGCGAGCCGCAACGCGTCTCAAACAAGCGGCAAGCCTTGTGTGAATCAAAACATGTGGCAGAGGTGACAAAACAAATACTCATGGTAGGCTACAATATGAAAGTTTTAAGACATTTTACATGAGTATGAGTAGCAACACTATTCAATAAATATAAAACAAACTAAACTGCAGAAGTACAAACAATGTAGCAACAACATTTAAAGTATCATAAGTAAAGAGTACTCATTGGCTGGCAGTTTGCCACAGCAAGAGTTTTGGATCATCACTTGTTTAAAGTTACTGCATTTTGTATGTTGCATTCAGCCAAGCAGCAACTTTTAAATAGTTAATTTCCTATCTGTGGCTTCATATTTTGTAAACTGGCCCCTTGATTTGTGTGTTAAACCCTGTTCTCTAAATAAACTAACTATAGCTGTAAACTCAATTAAATTAGTATTAAAACATTTGTATAAAGCGGTGGCTATGTATAAGTATCTCAAAAATAATGCTTAATTAATGGTAGCCTATATTTCCATCACTGATTAGCAGAATCAAAAAACATGAATCAATGAATCAAGAGAATAAAATCCTATCTTCTGTAGTGTTATTTGTCCATCATTGTTGTTGTTGTTCCTAGATGTTGTTTATTTCTGTGTATAATGAGAGAATGGATAAAAGGCAGGCCCATTCCAATTAAGATGATTATGATTATTCGCCTAGATTTGGTTTTGACCATGTTTTGTTGCTGCAGAGTTTTCATTGTCCACCTATGCTTAAGCTTATTTTAATGAAACAGTATGTATGTCCTATTACTTAGTCTTAAGCGCATGTGCATTTAGTTGGCACTCACCTGCTGGAATGAACTAAGCTATTCGTCTAACTTGAACTCAACCGCATTCACATCAATCATTCATACATCATTCATAAAATCTAACCAGAAAGCCCGATTCCTGACGTCATCAGCGCAGAAGGGAAAAAAAATATGTGACGTAGAATCCAAGATGGCTGCTCCCCTTTCCACGATGAAATTTTGGAAGCCGGGTAAGTACGCTAAAAAAGAATAAATCGGGCATTTATTGTTATTTTCCGGGGTTGGTATTCAGTAACGGGAAGCTGCTTGTAAAGCTCATTTAGTCTCGGTTTCCCTTAGCTGCTTTCACAGCAGCTGCGTGATCTCTGCAGCCAGTTCAGCCCGGGTAACGATAGCTCTGCGGAATCAAAGTAACCATGTAACCTGCCAAAAATAAAACGCATGTGCTATGAAGCGGAAAGTACGACAGCTACGTGCAGACGTGCAATAAAATAAGGGGGTTTCAACACCTATAGATGCTTTAGTTTAAGTCTTCGCTTTGCACTAAACCCTTTCATCATCTGGAAGCCTCATTCTGCTCATATTTAAATAAAACATCTTATCTTTACCTCCACCATCTGCTCTGCCCCAGGGGCTGAGGCTCCGGGGATCACTGAGGAGCGGGAGCTCAACACAGAGACCACCGGCTCTCCCATCATCTTCAACCCGCACACAGCCCTCTCCATAGAGAAGCAACGACAGAAACTCCCCGTTTTCAAGGTTTTACATCGCCTCTGAACATGCAAAGATGTTACATTAGTGTGGGAAATGTGTTGAACTGTGTGTAGTGTGTATTTCAGTGATAAACTTTGTATTCATTGTGTCCTATTCAGCACAGAAACAACATCTTATACTTGGTGGAGAGCTTCCAGACTGTCATCATAGTTGGTGAGACAGGATGTGGAAAAACAACGCAGTTACCCCAGGTTAGTGCTGTAGTATAAGTACAATTTCAACCATGGTACATTGTGGCACAACTTAAGAAATACTGGACACCAGTACGCCAGTTTTTACGTATTTGTCTAAGCTGAAGCAAAATGTCCTCGAAGTCACATATCTAAAAGTCAAAGGCACAACATTGCCGCATTGGACTGATGCCCTTCATGTGGCTTTACTCCCACCTTGTTTTTACATAACATTGTTGCTTAGTTGGCTCTTTTTTTTAAGAGGGCTTTGGACCACATCAGCCATTGTATGCAAAGTCTGCTCCTTTGCAGTCTCTCTTTTGCTTCCTCCATCTTTTTTGATCTAACTTTTCTTTCATCTGATTCACTTCAGTATCTTCTGGAGGCTGGCTGGGCAACGGAGGGGAAGGTGATCGGAGTGACACAGCCTCGTCGTGTGGCTGCTATCTCTGTAAGGCCTCTACTGATGTCCTCTGTTGCTGTTTGCCAAATGTCATTTCTCTTCAATAAATGTAGTTCCCACTGAAAGACACGTGCCAAATTCGGTACTTCCCCCTCTTTCCTGCTGGTAGGTAGCCAATCGTGTGGCAGAGGAGCGAGGGGCCCAGGTCGGACATGAGGTGGGATACACCATCCGTTTTGATGACTGCTCTGATCCTCAAGCCACAAGGATTAAGGTAATTCCTGCCAGATGTTTTAAGCTTTCATCACAAGCTGTACCTGTGTTTGGGTCCTTTCAGTACTTAATGTGCGTTTGTGTTTCAGTTCCTTACAGATGGCATGCTGGTGCGGGAGATGATGGCTGACCCTCTTTTGAAAAAATACAGGTAAGTGATTGTAATTAAGATATTATGTCATCTTTTTTCAAATCCCATAGTTTAACTTGTCATAGAAGAACAGTCACTGTTACCAATAACATTAACAGTGGCTCTGTTCATTTCAAGTGTCCCTGAGCGTTCTGATAATATGACAGGAAGACACTATGCACAACACCAAAACCCTGAAGCAGCTAAATAAAATCAACCCCATTATTTTACACTTTTTTCCCTTCCTGTGACAGCTGAACATTTCCCTTGTGAATAAAGTCATTTCTATCGGACATGAAAACTGTATTGTGTCATTAAAAGTGGTTTGGATTTACTCTTTCTAACTTTTGTACTGTGCTGTTGTCCTTAGTGTGTTGATGCTAGATGAAGCGCATGAGAGAACTCTGTACACGGACATAGCCATTGGTCTACTAAAGAAGGTAATTCCTGCTGATTCTGAAAAAATTACACTTGAATATTTAACTTTCATTCATTCTAGTAACTATACAAATAGTCCTAGTAAGTTGTAAGTTGTTTTCCGTTTTAACGCTGACTCTCCTTCTCTGTTCCCACTGTTTTGTACACTCCTGATTCTTCTATAGATTCAGAAAAAGCGGCGAGACCTGAGGGTGATTGTGGCCTCTGCCACTCTGGATGCCAAGGTGACAGCATCATTAAGATGAGCAGATATGCCTGATAAGCGTGAACAGAAACAAAAAAGACAGAAAGGGGAAAAGTTGGTGTCAGGTCGGATCACATTGTACTGACATCTGCGATAGACCGATGAAAGAACTGACACAATCGGGCCACGGCTGCGCTCAGCATAAAAAAAAAAACTAAAATGCCATATCAGACATCTACTGTCTGTTTGAAAAGACTTTGATCTATACATGCACATTATTTAGTTATACTTCAGTAGTAAGTTGCATACTTTTTTAAGATGTCGAATTGAGGGTACAGAAGTTCTTCATAGATTGTTTTATCTGCAAAACATTTGTAAAATATCAGTTGATAAAAAGTCTGTTTACTTTCACTTTATATATAAACATGTTTGCTTTAAACATGATCTACAAATGCCTCATTAGTGCTTCCTTTACTAACTGAAGTTATCACTATTATCTACAGAAATTCCATGACTTCTTCAATTTGAACGAGTCCGGGGATCCCAACAAGGACACGTGTGGAATTCTGACCGTGGAGGGACGCACCTTTCCAGTGGACGTCTTCTACACTGTCAGGTAGTCAACGCACATAATCCAATGTGAGGAAAAAGTGTTTCAGTAGTATATTTTGTTTCGCTAACTCTCAAGGGTTTTCTGTTTGTTCTCAGTCCTGTCCCAGACTATGTAAAGGCCACAGTGGAGACAGTGCTGAAGATCCATGAGACGGAGGAGGACGGAGATGTCCTTGCTTTTCTTACCGGACAGGTTAGTGGCAATTTAAAGCTACTTAATATTAATTTGACAGAAGGACTAGATGGCATATAATAACACAAGCATTCAATTTGTTATTTTATTACTATATTTTGGCATGGTCCGTCTTTTGTCTTTGTCTAGGTTACCTTCTTTTCATTGTCCATTTGTATATTTCACTTTAGGAAGAGGTGGAGAAAGTTGTGTCCCTTCTGCAGGACCAGGCCAGGTCTTTGTCACGAATCGGCATGAAGAAACACCTGAGGATTTTACCCATGTACTCGGGTTTACCTTACGCTGATCAGATGAAAGTCTTTGAGAGGACGCCGCCCACTGTTCGCAAGGTGAAGTCGCTGCCATTGTTCTAATGTGTTTAATAGCCATTGAGTTACATTAACAGTGTAGGTGTCAACATAGGAGACGATAACTGGATAAATTGTGTGATATACAAAACACTTATTTCTTTCTTTTGTTTCTTGCAGGTTGTGGTGGCCACTAACATAGCTGAGACATCCATCACTATAAATGGGGTTGTGTTCGTCATTGACTGTGCTTTTGTGAAGCTGCGAGCGTATAACCCGAGCACTGCCATTGAATCTCTTGTGGTAACTCCAATCTCTAAGGCTTCCGCCAGCCAGAGAGCTGGGAGAGCCGGACGAAACCGTCCTGGGAAATGCTTCAGACTTTACACAGGTATGTGTTGGTTTTCAGAAATAGAAGAAGGATGAAAGTGTTGTAGAATATAGTCTGTGAGCGGAATCATGCTAGTTAGCATTTTAGGCAATCGACCGATATGGCTTTTAACTGTGAAACTGATAGAATTGGATCATAAGATCGTGGTGTTTTTGCAACTTCAGCATAGGGGATTGGGATGTTTATTGAACTTCGGCTTTCAACTGATTTACCTTCGAAACACCGCACACTGCTGCTGCTTGCCTCTGTCTGTGTCTACGTTCTTCACACCTGCCTGTAATCTGAGAAGGTTCCGCCTCTCTGACTGGCTGCAGCCCGGAAAATCTTCAGTGTTGATTGACACTTCAGTAATAGCCTATCAGATAGCACTGCCGCTGTGGGCGGGACATTGCTCGTGTACACAGAGTGGTGACTGCAGCCAGAGAAACGGCCGCATCAGAGCCAAAGTTGTATCGGCAATTTGATTAAAAAAAGGCCGATACCGATAATCTGTAAAATGCGGAATATCGGCCTCGATAATCGGCCAGGCCGATAATCGCTCGACCCCTAATGTGTTGTAGTTCTATCCTCCTCCTTCAACCCTCTCTGCCTGTTTTTTTCTGTCACTTTTCATTTCCCTTCCTGTGTTTCTTATTGCCTGTGTTCCTTTCTTCAGAGGAGGACTTTGAGAAACTGCCTGCCTCTACTGTGCCAGAGATGCAGCGCACAAATTTGGCCCCTGTCATCCTGCAGCTGAAAGCGCTAGGCATTGACAACGTGCTGCGGTTCAGCTTCCTCTCGGTGAGTATCTTCTCTGCATCCACAGGGTGGCTGTGATGGGTTCACCCACTGTGAAAGGAATGGTACTTTGCATTTTAATTAGCGAGAATGTCCCCTAGCCTCCGGGGAATAATGCACAGAAACCATAACATTAATGCAGTCATTGTGTGTTCCGGCTTTACAAGATGTAATGACAAGACTTCACAAGTAAAGGCAGTTCCTTATTTTTTTTTGTCTTAAACATTGCAATTGTAAAATGTAACATTATATTTAACAATAATTTTGCAGCCTCCTCCAGCTCAGACCATGGTTCAGGCTCTGGAGCTGCTCTACGCTCTCGGAGGTAAGAAACAAGCCGTCAGCAGGGCAGGATAGTACAAAGGGAAACTGTCCTTCAACTGCAAGACCTGTGTTCAAAATTCTGTCAGCAAGCATCTACAAGCTAAGGTGTCCTTGTACATGATGCAGAATCTTAACCAGCTGTGTGTCTTGGCAGGACTAGACCATTACGGACGTTTGACTGATCCCATGGGTGTGCGGATGGCAGAGTTTCCTCTCAGCCCCATGTTTGCCAAGATGCTCCTAGAGTCAGGAACCTTCGGCTGCTCCAAAGAGATTGCTACCATCGCAGCAATGATGCAGATTCAGAATATATTTGTTTTGCCGGCCAATCAGAAGAAAGCTGCCGTAAGTGAAAACCGGCTTTCAAAATGAGCGTGTTGTGTATTTGGCAGAAATGCTTTGTCAGCATAACAATTATCCAATTTCCGCTATCGCACCCTGCAGGCTCGAGAGCACAGGAAATTTGCAGTTGCTGAGGGAGACCACCTCACCATGCTGAATGTGTATGAAGCATTCATTAAGGTATAGTGTGTGTGAATGTATGTACAATGTATAGCTCAATCAGTGACAGTGACCACAACACTTGGCGAACTCAGCAGAATGAGGGTTGACTATAATCAAACAATGAAACTTTTTCGTCTTTACTGCAGCACCAGAAGAGCTCCCAGTGGTGTCAGGAACATTTCCTCAACTATAAAGGTCTGCTGCGGGCTGTGACTGTACGAGAGCAGCTCCGGCGTCTCATGAACAAGTTTAAGGTGCCGCGAACTTCCAGTGAAGGTTTGTTTGTTTTATGTTTGTTTTATGTAAGGTGGGATTGTGTCAGTGACATATTTCATTTCATTTTTATTTGTTCCGTTCATGGTATGCACAACTTAATGTATAATAATTGTTGACAAAACATGTCTCTGTAAACACACCATTGAGCGAAAAGGAGCAGGGAGAAGAAATAATCGTATAGGACCTGCCCCTTCTAAAAAAATAAATAGAAATAGATGGTCTGTCCTACATATGTCTTATTCACAGCCAAGCTTATTCGCAGCCAAACATAACAGTATAGTAGGATAATAAGAGAAACACAAAAACTTACTACAAAAAATACTTAGTTCCCACTTGATAGTTAACGTAAAGAAACAAAACAACAACACCGAAACATCACATGTACAAGGAAAAGTGCGACACCCTCATCTGAGTCCTACTGGAGAAGAAGGGGGAAAGCGGCGCATCATAATAATAATAATAATAATAATAATAATAATAATAATAATCATGGGACCTGCAAATAAAGAACAGACATCACAAATATTTACCAATATTAAGGACGAACTCATGTTCTAATGATGTTGCAAAAGTAGATGTTTTTTTTAATGATGCAAATGTGTGCTACTTAAAGGCACCTTTTGCTTCACTGTCATAACTAAAGTAAAATGGCCATTTTAACAATTCCTTGCTTCTTTCTTTTGCACAGGTGATCCTGATGTCATCTTGAAGTGCATTGTACTTGGGTTTTTCTCAAATGCAGCACGCATTCACCATTCTGGTTCCTACCGGTGAGAGTTCTCCTTTTTATCATCTATAAAATGCATAAAAGGATTATTTTCAGTTTTTCATCCATTTGCAAATCACATGACTCATTCTCATATTCACTTGCAATGACAGGACTTTACGAGACGACCGTGAGCTTCACATCCACCCCAGCTCTGTGCTGTATGGAGAGAAACCTCCAAAATGGTCAGTGCATTTTCTTTTGCAGCAAGTTTCCTTTGCTCCCTTATTCTTGAACATTTATGGTGTGCAGAAAATGTGCACGCATTCAGACTTCTATCTTACTTTGTCTCCTTTTCAGGGTGGTTTTCAATGAAGTGCTGCAGACGGCAAAATACTACATGCGCGATGTGACTGCTGTGGAGTCGTCCTGGTTGGTCGAGTTTGCCCCTCACTTTTACAAGCAGGCCAAGGTAGGTCAAAGAAAGCTCCTCCAACTTGATATTTGTGTATGTGGCTGTTGAGCGTCTTCTGAAACGTGAGTTGAATATTAAACGTTAAAGTGAGTTAACTGTCTGAAGCCCCAGTATATTATCGTCTGATTGAACATAACCTGTCCCTTCTCTCTTTTAGCATGGTTCACTGGCCAGCAAGAGGTCCCGGGTACTCTGAAGCTCTCCATCCTCTTAAGACTGAAGACTCACGGGTATAAAAGGAGAAACACCCTCTCAAATTGCCACTGTGCCCCTCTCCATCTCATTGTATATACAGATGTATTATAAACCATGTCCACCTGCTCAACCCCTCCACACTATGTGGCCACGCTAGAATGGGATGAAGTTGATACATTTTTAGAGTTGACATTAATGTGACTTCATTTGGAAGCGTCTTTCTTGATTTTTGGAAGTAATGTAGTGTACCTGTGATGGAGTAAATGGTGACGAATGTAAGATGAGACGAGACTGTTTCATGTATAGTCAGGTAGTTCACTTCATTCATACTTGTACATAGTCCGAGCAGGCTCAGGTCCAGGGAACGGCTCGTATGCCACAGGCTTGTCCTCACCTGGTTCTTGGCTTAATTATTTTTTTAATCGCTGTATTTCCTGCTGCATGATGGAGAACGAAAGTCAATGGTATGTGAGGATGATTCCCTTTGAGAGACTTATGGCTTACTTTGTTCTGTTTAATTTGCGTCCCCCTAGCCTGGGTGCCTTTATGTTTCTAACTGGTTCACTTTATCTCCAATTTATTTTTGATTTCTTAACTTTCTGCACCTTCATACAGAATGTAGTAATATATATTTTCAGGAATTTACTGCAGAAGGAAACGCATTTCTTTATCTTTTACATCTAATAATGATACTGTGAAAAGACCGCTTTACTTTTTGATCCTCGTTTTCCATACATAGTGGCCTTGTTACCACTCTGTGCCAATTATTATTTTTCAGACTATTTCACATTTCATTTTCAGATGAAATGTGTAAATACACCCAAGCATTGTAAATGCAAAGCTGTGAAATCAAAACTAAAAATGAAGTGCCATTTGTTCCTGTGATGACATAAAGTGCATTCAGAAATGCATCCAGAGCTTCAAAGAAACAGTAGCATTTATTCGATCTAAGCCATCTCTTTTGTCATAATAATTGCATTTCCTTTTACATTTTGTCTCAGTTTTGAGACAGACCTTAATGTAATTTTGTCCCGTTACTGTCAAAACCATCTACCAGATGTTCAGTAAAATGGCAAATTATTTGAGACTTCCATTCCATATTGACAGCATCTGTTCTACATTTCCCGCTTACGTTTTTATTTGTTTTTATATTTCTTCAGAAGTATTTGGCCCTGAAACCGCCAGTGAGCAGTATGTTAAAGGTTTGTCATATGCTTAAAAATCCATAAGGTCACTGTCACTAAACGTTTACTTCTGCCTGCATGGTTTTTCATACATCTTGTTCTTGAGGTTACTACTTTAGCTAGATTCAGTGAAACTGTAATCAAACCACAGAACACACTGTACCGTAGATAGGTAAGCCAACTCAAATTAGATGGATATACAAAGGAAGTACCTTTGCATGTTAAATGGTACTCTGATAGACTATACACTTACAATCACCTTCTAGGACTTATTGAAAATAAAAACGTATTAACTTGTTTGTGCTGATACGGAGTATGTATGCAGCCAATGCAGTAATCTTTAGTCCTGTGTAATTGCTCACCGCTGAGATAAAAAACTGTCACCTGCCATTTCTTCCTCACATTTTCAAATAAAGCCTTATTGTCATGCACTCTGTGTTGGCTGATGATTTTTTCTTTTTTCACCCACCCAACTACTGTTATTTTAATCTTATGAATCATACTGATGCTTTTTATTCAGTGTAACATTTTGCCAGGAGGTGTCACTGTTGTACTACAAATGGTGCCCACTTCAAATGATTCAAATTATAATTGAGTGAAAGGGCATTTATGAGTGTCTGTATGTATTAGTTCCCTTTTTGATAAGTGTGTAAATTAAAAATGGTTGTTTCGACTTAGGTTGATGAGCCATTCATCAATTTAGAGGTGCAATGTGGTTAACACATGGACTTAAATTAATATATTTAATCAATTTATAGTAAGCATATCTGGGGGCATGTAGTATTCTACCATAAAAAGTGGTGCAATTACTTTGTGGCAATTTTGATAATTACATTATGCACCACTAAAACCAGTGGTGAAGGAAGTATTTAGATATTTGACTGTGGTCAAGTAGAAATACAGTGTATAAATACTATATTACAAGAGGAACTCATATTTAAGTAAAAATTACATTATACTTAAGTATTGGCAGGAACCAATTTAAAGTAACTAATATATAAATATTCATAATGCAGAATGGCTCATTTTAGATATATTACTGGATTTGTATTATTAATTTAATAAAGGGATTATCTCTTATATTTAAGAATCATTCATTGTCAAATAGGTGGAGTGTAAACAAACAAAAACAATAGTTTGACAGACAATAGCCTGCATTTTTAACACAATGTGACAGCATTTAAAAATTGTTTATCAACTTTGACTTTTGGGAATGGGATTTTGCATCTGGTAAAGGTTGGGTATTAACCATAGACTGGTATTAACCACTAAATAAACTGCAGGGTGGTTTAACACAACATCTTGTATCCTTATTTGTTAGGTGATTTTATTTAATCTGAATCTGCAAAGTAGTTAATAACTTGAGTTATCAAATGAATGTTGTATGGTAAAATGTACCCTACAATATTTTCTCTTAAACGTATTGGAGTATAGAGTAGCATACAATTAAAACATTTAAGTAAGGTAAAAGTGGGCCTCCTCAAAATTGTACTTCTGTGGGCTACAGTCATTACTTACTAGTAAATGTTCAAAACTTAATTCCATCGGTAAAAGCAATAATTAAAAAGTGTCTGCTGTATTCTTGGCCCAACTTGGGTCAAAGAGAGATGGAATAAAAATATACACCTTAAATTATTCCGAACTATATTATGTTTACATGGTAGTTAACAATTTCAAAGAATCCACTAGAGGGCAGGTGAAGCTCTCATCTACTCAGCAGCTGTAGTTCACCTTTCAGCCCTCAATGGAAGCACTGAGCTCACTATGGCTCAAAAGCAGAGTTTAACGAAGAAAAAAAGGCGCCAATTTGACCATACCTGCGTACTACCCAAGATGCTTTCCTATCACCTGAGTGTCGTGTGGGATTAATGTCTGGTTGTTTATGTTATCATAATTAAATTTTGCGTCATGTCAGTTTGCACCTACTGGTTACATGAAAGGACGTTTCGACGAAGATAAACCTCCAATGTGTTATGGGAAGTCCAAAAGGTTTGTTTACAAACATTTATTGAACTGACATGTTTTCTTTCCATGTGCACTGGTCAGCCCATTAGCTACTAGCCAAACGTTATGGTTAGCCAATTTAAAATGGCTGCTGTTTGTTTGCATTTACCTAGCTAATGTTGAATTTATGAAAATAAGACAAAATGCCGCTATTTTTCATGTAAAATATGATGAAACAGTAGCTTGAATGTCAATACATGTTCCTGTTGGCAGCATACAGCATGCCTTAGGCTAATCGGCTACCGTAGACTTTAGCCAAAAGGCTACTGCTAAACTCTGTAGCCTCCCACAATTACAAGGTCAAAGTCACTTATATCATGATTTTTCTCTGCAACCATATTTGTTTTGGTCTGTTTAAACATATAGAGGCTGTTGTTGTCTTGTAATCCGTAACAACACAAATGTTTTTGTATTGCAAAGGGCTACTTGTCCCAGCTGAGTTTATCATTTGTGTCTCAAACTTTATATTTTAAAACTGGCTTCTTATCCACCTTCTTTCCTTAACAACTTTCCCAAACTACTGTCATTCTCAGGAACTGGATTTTGCAAACACATCATTACAATCAATATGTTGTTGGCTATGAGTTTATTTTTCTATACTGTGATAGCAATTTATATTAGCTCACTGCAATTCTTGTGTGTGTGTGACTAAAGTGCTTTGGATAAAAGCTCTATATTCTGTAGCTCTCTTAGTTTGCAGTTACTCGCTTTTACCCTTTGTCTTTGGCTCAGTGGTACAGTTTATTCTTACATCACTGACCTACACATTTAACATTTAGACCTTAACAAAAGGTGTAGGGAGGGAGGACTGCTCCTGAAGATATGGCTGGTAGCTTCAGAAAAAAGAATTAACTTAGAGGGTATCATTTTCTCTGTCTGGCCGTTGGCACAATCAGATGCTTCACTAATGAATCAGTTCAGTTCTCGGTGTGTGTCCTGCAGTTGTTTTCCTTTGCAAACTGAATGCATTTCCCAAGGTCTATAAGCAGAAATCTCAATGATATGTTTGTGTTAGTATTAGGAAGATGCAGTGTTCTCTGGGAAAATTACACAGATAGGAAAAGAAGAGTAGTGCATATCATCCCAGTGCTATGACTGTTAGTTTATCTTTAGGTTACATGAGTTGAGTATGGACTGGTGTGTAGTGTTTGGGCTGGTTGCTTCTCACATAGAAAATGACAGAAGAGTAACTACTCAGTTAAAAATATGGCTTATTAAAAGTTCAAATATCTTTAATATTCAACATGTCACATCTGAAATAATGGTTTGCCTCTCGAGTCAATTAGTCAGTAATGGCTATTAGTTACTACCCAATTAAACTCAGTAATTAGGCATTAGCTGCATCAATTAAAAACAATGCAAAGTGAAGCACCTACATTAGTCAATTATGACTGAATATCCACGTTACCTAAATATCATGTGCAAAATGTAAATCATTTAATACACAGTTTTCTTGACAGTTGACTGACTAACTTGAGTAACCAGGTTTGGGTAACTGCAGACAGTTGTTGTCTGGTTATGTTGCCCCTTTTGGCAGCTACTACTTCTGTGTTTTTAATCCTCTTTCATTTTGAACAGTGTACATTTTCCATGGTGATCAATTGCCAAGAAGAATGAGAGTTTTGTGTAATTGATTTTATCTTTTATGTTAGAAATGGTTTGTGTGTGTAGAAAAAAAAGTCAAACTAAAACCCATAAACCTAATGAGATTAGCTTCAAGATCGTGGTAGCCTTTCTTTGGTTGCTAAACTTAAACAAATATAAATTAGTAACTTCAGCAAAGCTTAAAAAAGTATTTACATTAAAGCCATTTATCAAACAAACATTCATCAGTAAGATAAGAAAAGAAAATCAAGCGCAGTGCCACAGAAATGAATAAACAGGGCAAGAAAAAATCTGAATGTTGTTTAGTACAACACCTTTTATTGGACTTACTGTATCATTTTTTTAGAATTTTGCATTACTAGTGAAGGCGAGCCACGTTTATTTTGTGACTATAAGTTTGTGTACTTGTGTGTGTATTTGCGACATAAAGAGAACCAACGGAGACATTTTTTGCCGTAAAAATATGGTGAATATTATTTTATTATTGTAATATGGGGTGCATTTGGACAGCGTTATTGATAAATCAGATCTAAATATTACTTGCAAACAATTTAGACTGGACCACCAAGTTGTTAGCAACCTAAAGTTTCACGTCCTATTGTTAAAGCTCGTCAGTGATGCAGTAAATCCCAACTGTGTCACAAGAACTGTTGAATCTCTTCCAAAATACTTTTAAACACTAAATGATGTCATCTGTCAACGGCCTATAACATGGTGTGATTATTGACAGTTTCTCAGATTACTATTTTTCTTATGCTTCTTATATATCCTGTATTTCAGGTATCCTGAAGGAAGCAACGCTGCAACGCCGAGTCATCAGAGAGGAAGGAGGCCGTTCCCCACCTGATGTCTTCAAAGAGAACGGAAACAAGTAAGAGAAGAAAGGCCGATTTCTTCATGTGTTTTTCAGTTCCACTCAGTTGCCCATTAGTGTTGTGTAACTACATACGTGCGAAGTGACAGCCGGAGGCATCAGTGATTAATCGCGTGCATGTGACTCAGACGAGGCAGCAGTTTGAACAGGCTGCATATACGTGGTTGAGTGTTCCTCACCATATTTCAGTGCTGTCAAAAAATCATTGACATGTTCCATCCAATTCAAAGAATGTTTAACTGTTTTAAAGGGTTTGATGGGAAAGCAAGTGGTGTGTGACTTGTAATTACCCCCTGTTCAAAGTTTGTAGATGTTTTGAAAGGAAACAGTGTGGTTAATATTTCCCCTTCAATGAACAACCAGTAATAAGTGCTTTTCCCCAGTTTTTGATGGTGGTGTTTGTTGAAAGGGTTCATGGTGTCTCTGACTTATACTCGTTACATCCCACGTGATGTTTGTGTAGAATTGTGCAATATGACTGCATGAGACCATACAACTTTGATGTCCCTTTACATTGGTAGTTGTATTGACCACTTTGGGCAATGTTGAAAAAAGCAAGCAGGACTGATTTATGGCAATATAGATATGAAATACACATTATTATTATGTGAATTTGGCTTTGATGTGATAAAGCATGTTGATTTGTCATGTGTTTTGACACATCATCTGAATGAGCCTAAATCCAAAATTCCAATCTTGTTATTTTATGCTAAAGCAATTCTCATTCAGAAGCATAGCAAAGTGACAAGTGATGAGAATATATAAACATGCAAGAAGGATACTGCTCTATTTAAAAAGATTATTCTTCTTTTATTCAGAATACTATATTAATAACAGGGTTCCTACGGTCATTAAAAACCTGGAAAGGTCATTGAAATTCAAAATGCAAATTCCAGGCCCTGGAAAAGTTATGGAAATAATATTTTTTCCAAAGTTTTGGAAAAGGCATGGAATTGTAACCAAAGTTGCATCAAATATAATTTATATTTGATCTAATCGCCAAGATAGTAATACTGTAACGATAATAAATACTGTATCGTATAGTAATGAAATGTAAAATGGCATTTAACTGACGAGGTATTTTGCTGCTGAGAGATTTTTACAATCACGCCCTCTAGTCTCCAGTCAAATACGCCTAGTATTTGATTTTTTTTAGATAGGCACAACATGTTTTCCAATGCAGACCTTATTGTCCAGCTTACCATGTTAAAATAAAAATGTTTCAGTGGTACCGCTGAGAAAGAGTAATTTCTTTGGTCATGGAAAATTAGGTAATGGTCATGGAAAAGTCATTGAAAATCATTGGTGAAAAAGTGTATGAACCCTGTAATAAATACAAAAAAAGTAAATTTGTAGTTAATCAGTATCATGAGTGATTCATTATTTTTTTTAAATCATGTTACAAATTGCCTTTTTGTCCTGGCTATATTCTTTAGCCCCACAGACACTACATTCTGTACATGGTGTGTGGATGTGATTATCTCACACAACCTTTTATTGTAGCATGGCAACAGGAGGCTCTACTTCCAAGGAGCTGTATGCATTGAAAAAAGAATCTGAGAGATTTCAAGCATGGGAGGAATTTTTACATTTGGGAGGGAGGATGCAATCAGTAGCATGGGACTCGCAGAGGCCTCCTCGGGTGACAAATTGAAAGTGTCTCGGTCTAGTTTATAGCCCTGATCAGGTCAAACGAAAGATATTGGAGGTCTGGGTGAGGAGACAGGCCCGCCTGGTGCAGATAAATGGACTGATCATTTCTTATTGAGAAACAATTCCTAAAAGGTAGTTTACTGTGTGACTGGGGAAGCGGCAAGCGAGGAGCAGAACGCGCTCCCACTGCTCCCTCCCTGACCCTTCCTCCTCTGCCGGAATTAAATGGATAGAGAGAACGCGTGTTTCTGATGGCACTCCTCTGCCGGAGAGACACTCCATTTGTTATGAAGTAGGGGTTCTGATGAAGTGTAGGGAGCTCCTCTTCCTTTTTTCTCCCTTTTTTTTCATCCTTCCTTTCTCAGGCACTACAAGGCCGGCCTTCAGTCTGCTTCACATGAAATGGATGGAAGGAGCCGATTGAATTTTACACTCCCCTGGTCATGATTAATGTGTTTGGTGTGGGGAGTCTTGGCAGGGTAACTCCACTACCACTAGCTGGTGCTCAAGCTCTCCCATGGCTGCAGCCCTGATAGAGGGGTGGGCGGGGGGGTTGCTGTTAAAGCACGGGAGTTTTGTTCAAGAAACCGTTCCTAGCCCACAACCCCTTCAACTCCTCTCCCCTCGTGTTAATAAAGAATCTCTGCTCTTGCCCACTCGCTCGTTATTACTTCACGGTCAGTTTCTCAGTGTGCTCTGTACCCAGTGTACTTGGCAGGCTGTGCTGTAAATGTCAATTTATCACTTAACCCATTGTTAAAGGGTGAGAGGCCTAATAAAAGATGCCAGGTCATGTTATCGGATTCCTTAACAGATGCTCATGGTGTCAGTTTATTATCTGGCTTATTCAGACTTAATGCATAGACCTGAAATTCCCCAGATTTCCAGAGAGTACCATTTGTCTTTGAATCTTTTTGTTCCTTTCTTCTCTTACGGGCAGCTACAAATGTTAACAGCAAAGTTGTAAGTAATGTGTTGACTGCAAACAACACACAGGGAATTACAATAAGACGTAAACACAGGGGTTTCACAGCGATAAGATCATTGTATTGTCCTGTGAATTAGAAAATGAACTCCAACCACAGCTGATCCAGACATCTTCAGAGTATCTGGTTATAAGGGAGCCATATTTAATGACATTAATGGCTGGGAGGAGCAGACTGGATTTACACAAGTGCCTTAGATGAGAGATCAATTAAGAGGATGAGCCAGACTAAGCAGGAATAGGAGCAGGTTTAATTTTGCATAAATAATGTACAGTCTGAGGAGAGAAAACGAGCAGGCAGATACCAGTTCGATCCTTCCTTTTTGTAATTGGTTTCTCCAATATTGAGATGCAGTATATTTTTTATCTCTAATGTCCACAACATATTGTTTTCCCATTTGGTTTCAGTCCTAATCTTATTTCCTCGTCACTGCTGTTCGTTTTTATTTGCCTTCTACGGAACATATGAAATGTGTTTATACAGCTATAGCCCAATAGAAAGCCTTTAAGTGGATTGTGTGTTGCCCTGCTGTGCATCCTCCTCCAGTCCAAACCCTGCTCTGATCATCAGGACTTCAGCGGGTGATGGATGGAGCTGTCTCCTTCCAGGTTGTCATAGCATCTGTTGCATGGTGCTCACTGGATCCTGCTCTGTTAATGCCTGCATGCACACAGATAGGTCTCGACCACTGTTTGTGTGCGGGCTGTTTGGTGGGTAATGATGGAAAATGACAAACAAAAACCTCACTTTTAGAAAAAAGCTCCCCAGGTTTGACTCAATGCCCGTCTTACATGCCAAAGGGTTATTTGAAAATGTCCTGCTCTCGTTAAAGTCTCTTTCGCTTGCCCTAAGCTGAGTTGGGTGTCTGTGGTTGAATTGGTTAAAAGGTGTCTGGCAGGTCTATCCTCTGCTTAAGTCTGGTGGGGGTTAAGGTATAGAGGGAGGAGAGAGGAGATAACTGGAGATAAAAACAATGGGAGAGTGACGAAGGGAGGGATGGCTGAATGAAGGAGAAATCAATAGGAAATCAGTGTTTGGGGAGGGCCTGTCGTTTATCAGGTGACACGGTTAAACAGCGTTAAGGCACTAAAAGTGAGAAAAATATGGGCCGTCCACATGTTGGTATTGATCACAGCGGAATGGGGCGGCAGAAGGCTGAAGCCACTAATAAAATAAGACGTATCTGAGTGGGAATCAGCCAGGGATCGATGGGCACGGTGATCAAGGCCAAAAACATCTTCACTGGGATTTAAGCTTGTTCTGCTGTCCTGTGCCCACACCTCGGTATGAGCAGGGGTTGGTGTGATGAACCTGGTGGGGTCACTGAGAGGCCCCTCAGGTTGGACTTACCTGCAATATATAGATCTGTTGAAGAGGGAGAATAAGATGAGAGAACTTCAGGGATGGAAAGCGTCGGAGAAACTCTGCTCTTTATTTCCCACATGCTTTGATTTATATGAAATGTAAGTACTTTTTTCCAATCTATACGTAGGTTTGATGTGTCTGGCACAGTGACGGACTGCCTCGTTTACAGTGGCATTTAAGTCCTTTATTCACTACTTTGTAGAAGCTACACCTTCGGGTCTTTATTAGATTTGCCAGCTCCCTGCATTACACACATGGATTTCTAGAGTTTCTCCACTTCACTCCCACCAGATTCTCTTAATCTGTGTCACATTGACGGGGAAGTGTTATTAAATGGCATTTCTTCAAAGATTTTTGTATTTTCAGTTGGGTTCAAGTCTGGGTTTTTGCCTGCTTGACCAAAGCTGTGTCGTATAGCTCTAAAGCTACATGTGCTATGAGCAGTTTTATTTCCAAGGAATCCCTCTGCATTTAGTTTAGTTTGTCTTTCCCTAAATCCACGTGAGTCTCCCTTGATACCAGACGATGTTTTCTGCCTTGAGTGAATGAGTAAATTATTGTAAACAGCATTAGATAAATGGGCTATTTTAAAAAAAACTTATTTTGACAGTTTGTAAGAAGAAATGACTTTATAAAGTCATTTCTTCTTACATGTTTTGTCATTTAGCGATCTTAAATGTCTTATTTGATCAATGGATGCAGTGGTCTTCTTTTAAAAAAAAATCTGGGCCAGTTTAGCTTTTTATAGAGGGATCGATTGGAAAGGAGGAGATGGGTGGGTTAACACTCGTAAAGGGTCCACAGGCTGGATATCAGTTCTCATTGAAAACGGTATTCTGTTGGAGTTCCTCTGAGCTCATTAGACTTCACGCCTCAGTGCTTTGTGTAACTTTCTAAACTCTGCTGTCTTAGTGACCTCTGCTAAGAAATTATGTTAAGTAGTTAAAATACATATTTTTCCTTCTTTCATTATGGGATATTGAGATCATAGCAAAGTAGTTTGAATTAAATATGAATCAACAAAACATTTGTTTGGAAGTTTTTGGGTTTGCATCAGCAACTATTAATGGTTCTCTGCTGTCAATAACAATAAGAATCCTGCGACATCTCTCAATTTCCTTCCCTCTTTATCTTCATCTGCCCTCATTTAAAAGCTGCTGTGTTTGTGTCATCATGCCAGAGGTTTTGTCTCAAAATGGGCCATAACAAAGGGAAAAAACAGGGAAATTAGTTGTTGTGGCTGATTAACATCTGGCAGTCGCCATTAACGAGTGCATCAAGTCATTCCAGCTTCTAACTTGTGCTTTAGCATTGGAGCAGTGGTGGTAATAGACAGGATATCTCTATACAGACCACATTTTTCTAACTCTCCTCCAATTCCATTCGACTTTTCTCCTCATTTATTGCACACCAGATGGTGCAATAAGGATTCTCTGGAACAGTTATGATAGCGGAGGTGCTAATAGAGAAGTTGAGGCCTGTGGTCCAAAGGGACATTCATTCCAGTAATCTGAAATGTTCCTCTATTGTTTTGTATTAATTTACTTTTTCATAAACAGATGTCAGCGGGCTAACTGTCCTCAAGTGTGAATGAGGACATTAGATGGGCTTTGTCTTTGAACCCCCTCTGGACCAGTCTGCGTTCTGTACTCAGTATATCTTTCAACATTGCATACATAACCCTGCAAAAACCTTCAAACGTGTACGAACCACTGGCCAGCTGCTGTAGTTCCTGGAAAGTTGTGGTTGCTGCTGGACTTTCAATCTTTCAGCATGTTGATGTGTGAGCAGCTACTCACAGGATTCAAAAAGACATTTCCTGTGTTGAACGAAAATGCCAACTGGCTACAAAGGCTCAGTGAGGGTATGGTGAAAAATCCTCATTTCCATGACAAGGAGGTTACATTGGCTCTGAAAGACTAAGGAAAGGCCATTTGAAATACTAAACGACCTATGACCAGAATCAGTGTCAGTAAAGGACAAGTCTTTTTTCCTTTAGTCCCACATTTTTCTGCTGCTCATGCTGCAGTATGTTTAACAAGTGCTACAAGTGAGAGGCGACTGAGGAGTGAGCAGAAGTGTGACAAATAGCAGCAGATCATGCAGAAAATGTGCAATGCTAAACATCAGTTACTGCACATGGGAGAAATGGTGTGTTTGTGCAGTGTTTGCTGTCCAAGGAGTTTTAGTAGGGAAGTTTAAAGGGGGGAAAAAAAAGGGTCGCTCTCACAGCTGGGGACTTGGAATTGAATACATGGCTTCCTTTTCACAGTTTAAAGAAATTATGTTGAGGAGGGCAGAAAATCTTGCTGGGGTTTTGAGTTTCTTTTGATGTGTCGTGATGACGATTATGAAATCCAATAAAAACTAATTATGAAATTAGGAGGCGGATCAATAAGGTTTGCTCTGGTGGAGCATGCTGTCTGCGTGTGTGTTTTGTGTGTGTGTGTGTGTGTGTGGCAGTCAACCCCCTTCTGCCCAGGGAGTGTGTTGCAGTTGTGACCTGGCCAAAGCAATTGTTACTGATACTCCTCTGTGGATTCAGACTGCTCTAGCCTCACATGGCTGTAATTTATATTTTGTTGACTGCCCATTTCTCCCTTCATGTGTAATCTGATTCTATGGGTTCTCATTTTTTCTAATGCCATCTTCTAATGTTTCACCTAATGTACCCTGAAACCTCTTTATTGCTCTTTATTGCTCCAGCTTTGCTTTGTTTACTTAATTTATTTATATGGAGTCGGTTCGACCACCACAAAAACAAGTGACGTAGTGGTGTTGCATTGGCAGGAATGTGATGGAGGGTTGTATGAGGTTTCTGTCTCGTCCTTGTCTTAAAAGATGAATGCCTGGCTCTGTTAACAGTCGGTATTGAAATACAATACTATCTTGAATTTTACACTTTCAGCAGTGTAAACTAAAAAAGTTTGGTATTCATGAAATGAATACCCATGTTTATGATAAGCGTATCCGCCAGAGGGCCGTCTTGCCGTCATTTGACGCCCTTATTCAGCTCGGAACGCCCTGAACGCGAGCCGAGGGCGTCCAAAAATATTAATAATTCGAGAGAAGATCGAGAGTTTTTATCGCTTGAAATGACGAAAAGGACAAGGACATCCCGCTGTTGGAGGGGCAAAGGAGTCTGGTGGGATTATTTTCGGAGTATTGAAGATTGTTTCCCGGACATCGAAGGTGCCTGCTACTTCAACATTTATTTCCTGTTACTTCTGGACCATGACGGTTGGCCAGCCTTCAACGTTTAACTGAGTGGAATATGTTGAGCCAACCGTCATGGTCCAGAAGTAACAGGAAATAAATGTTGAAGTAGCAGGCACCTTCGATGTCCNTTTATTGCGTCGCTAAGTTCCTCGTACTACTTGTGTACTTTAAAGCGGCACGGGCATCGTTTACAATTTGCGAGCGATTTTTCAAGTTGACCGTCTTCTTGAAAAATCCGAAGTGTTGCGCAAACGTTTGATTTGTAGGTATTTTTCGGTGCGCTGTGTTTCTCTTTCTCCTCGACTGCTCCGTCGTGTGTGTGATAAACTGGAGACGCTCGGCCTCCGTAGTGCGAAGCAATGATCAGAAATCGTCTCTGCAGAGTGCTGACAGGATGAGGGGATTATTATTTGAATTAATCGTTTTTTTACCGATGCAAGACGCTACAATCGATGCATCGCGGAGGTTCAACCCAAACTGTAGACGATGTGCACCCTTTTCAAACCGGTGCACTCTCATCTTGAACGTTTATGCCGGGTGGCACCGATGCGAATCGGGGATCTTAACATCCCTAGTTCATACAATACTGATACCATTTGAAGCCATTTTGACGTATATTACCTATGTCAATACGTTTCTGTCTGTAGTGTATTTGTCCTTTTGTAGAGATTTTCCTTTATTCTTTATATATAAAATCTCGCCTAAGGCAAATTGACTAGACCGGCCCTGGTACTAGGCCTCAAGAGCCTTTATTGTGCTGGCAGACACATAGAAACAAATTGGCGGGGCGCACTTTGCACGTGTACACACTAAAAAATTCCACGCTCACGTTACCACAGTTTACCACGGAGCCTTAGTTTTGCCGCTGCGAGGCTCTGTTGCTTGCAGCTCACGCGCGTGCTCCACTAAAACCCCCCCCCCCGCTCAGCTCGTCCAAATCGCGCACGTTCCGTGTTGTCCTGTAGCAGGCACCTTCGATGTCGGGGAAACGATCTTCAATACTCCGAAAATAATCACACCAGACTCCTTTGCCCCTCCAACAGCGGGATGTCCTTGTCCTTTTCCCTCATTTCAAGCGATAAAAACTCTCGATCTTCTCTCGAATTATTAATATTTTTTGGACGTCATCGGCTCACGTTCAGGGCGTCCCGAGCTGAATAAGGGCATCAAATGACGGCAAGACGGCTCCCTGGTGGAAACGCTGCTCCGATCGATCGGTCACCGATCGAGATCGGCCGATACTCACTCTCTACCGATCGATCGGTGTTCTCTAAACATGCCGATCGCGAGAGCCGATAGCATGACGTAAAATACATGACACTTTTCTCGCGGCAAAACAAGCTCGCCAAAATGGCTTCACCGGTCTGGCATTATTTTAAGGAGTCCGAAAAAGACAGTAAAATAGCGGTATGCAACGTGTGTGTGAAACAGAAATCCTGCAGCTCCGCCCGCCGGACCGGTTAGCGGAGCGAAACAGACAAGAGTTAGACCTAACACACTTAGCTACTTTATCTACCTCTGGAACAAGCTAAACTAGTTATACATATATTTATTCTTCACTGTCAGGCAGTGTTGGGACGCGTTACAAAGTAACACGTTACTGTAACGCAACTACCTTTTGCGGTAACTAATAGCGTTACTAGTTACCTATTCCCATTGAGTAACGCCGTTATAGTTACTGTGATTTAAATGGGTGCGTTACTGCGTTACATTATGTGATGGAACTGAACCGAATCTCCCTGCGGATGTAACTTACAGGCGAATACA